TTAACATTCTCTTTTATATGATTCTGTGTTAAATTTACTGTTGATATAGTTTCTAATGGATCATTTAAAATTTCATTGCTTGTTTGGTTTTTTTTCATGATTTTCCCTCTCAAAAAATTTTAATTTAAATTTCCCTCCAGAAATTTTTATAAATTAAGCTAAAAGTACACCCCCTAAAATGGCAGGAAAGAGTGGTAAAAGCGGTAAGAGAGATGTTAAAAAGTCAGGTGTTGCAGATGGTTATAGTGCTTATTTTAAAGCTGCACATATAAAAAGAGTGTTTAAAGATGCAACTGGTCTCAGAATATCTAAGGATGCTACTAAGATGGGATGTACAGCTGTAACAACATTCTTGAGGGAAGTTATTGAATGTAGCCAAAGAGCAGTTTTATCAGATAAAAAGAAGAAAATCACACCAAGACACATTAATTTAGCTATTAAAAATGATCAGGAATTGAATTTCGTACTAAAGAATGTTATCATACAGTCTGGTGGTATGGGTGCACCAACAGCAGCAATGCTTAAGAAATCAAAAGAAACTAAATAAATTGATTTCTTTTTTTAAAATTTTTTAATTTTTTTAACCCATTAAATGTGGAACCTCATCAACTACACTGTTTACCCGTTAGCATTTAATTATGTAATAGGTACACTTTTGAAAGTATTACAATTTACTGCACAGGTAAATCCTAACCCTGCAAAATACTTAATTACTGATGAAGAACATAAAATTGCTACTAATTATGAGATGAGTAAGATCAAACTTTCAATCGTAACTGAGTTTTTCAGTTTTATTAAAGATTTAATTATGTATCAGAATATTCAACAAATATATTATCGTATTCCAGAATCCAAATATTTTGATAAAGACGTTTTAATGATGTTATTTATCAGTATATTTTCAGTTGTTTTCATGATTCCATTCAATTTGTATAGTGATTTTGTTTTAGAAGAAAGCTATGGTTTTAATAAGAAAACTTTGAAACTTTTTATTATGGATTACATTAAAGTTGGAATTATTTTTGTGGTTGTTGCATACCCAATACAGTATTTGGTATTTTATTTAATAAGAAGATTTGAAAAGTTTTGTTTTTATGTTGGTGCTACAATCATTTGTATTCAAGGTGTTTTTATTTATTTACATCCAATTTTGATTGCTCCACTTTTTAATAAGTTTACTCCTTTGGATAAAGAATTAGATCTTTATAAGCGTATCGAATCATTAGCTAAGAAATTTGATTATTCGATTGAAAAGGTTAATATTTGCGATGGTTCTACTAGATCTTCGCATTCTAACGCTTACTTTTCTGGGTTTGGTAAATCTAAGAGATTAGTGTTGTTTGATACAATAGTTAATCAGATGAGTGATGATGAAATTATGGGAGTGGTAGGTCATGAATTTGGACATTGTGTACTTCAACATATTCCCAAGTTAATCACTATTTCATCAATTTACCAGTTTATTTCTTTAATATTCTTTAATCGTTTCGTGTACAAAACCGGTAGTTATCCTATTTCTATTAAGATGATAGTCTTTTCAAGTTATTTTTCATCTTTTAGCATTTTATTTGTTTTTTTATCAAATTTTATTAGTAGAAAATTTGAAAAAGAAGCTGATATGTTTTCGGTTGAATTGGGCTTTGGTGAATATTTAATCAATGGTTTAAAAGTTCTTTCTAATAAGAACAACGTAACACTGGTTAATAATTGGTTGTATTCATTAATTTCATTCTCGCATCCTCCTATTTTAGAAAGGATTGAGTTTATTAGAAAGTTGATTGCTAAGAATAAATAAACTTCTTGTTTTAATTTAAATTCTTTTTACTTTATTCAAATTTTAAGAATATAAATTATTAAAAAAGAATTTAGAATCAAACTATTATTTTTATTTGTTTTAAAATAATTTCATTGTGTTTGATTGTATAAAATATTTTTTGATAAAAGTTTCTCATCTGTTAATTATTTTTATACTTTCTTTTATAAAAATTTATTTAAAATTTAAATATAATTTGATATATTTGTAAGTATTAAAATTAAAAATTACTGATTTATAAATATAAATTTGTTTTAGATTAATTTAATTAGAAAATAATTTTTAAAAAATTTTAACATTTTTGTAAGATCAACAAACATATACATTTTACATAATTTTTATATTAAAACAATAGCATTCAAATAAAAAATATTTTAATATATTTTTTCTAATATTTTATAAATCTAAAGAAATTATTGAAATACGTTTTTTAAATCTTTCAATACAATGTTTAAATTCTTCAACTAAAATTCATTTAAAAACATCTTAGAATTGGTTAAAATATTTTTATAGTTATAAATTTCTTTTGTAATTTTAAATTGATCATATATTAAAAATTTTTTAATTGAACGTTTTATACAAAAATAAAATCTTCTTCTAAATTACAAATAAATATACTTATGTAGCAAAACAAATTATTTAAAATATGTTTTATCTAATTCCAAGTATTTTAAATAAAGAAAAAAAGTTAAAAGTATCTAAACCCTTATAAAATAAAATATTCCATCTTTAAATCATTTTATAAAGCTGTGTCTTAATTTGTCAAAATATCTTGCTGAATTATATAGTTAGATTTCTATCAAAAAATTTTTCATGTTTATTTCTAAAATTAAAACAGTGCTTATATTCTAATATTGTTTACCTTACTTAAAAATACAGTTTAAATATATGCATCAATTTTAAATGGTTTTTATAAAATTAAAACATATCTTTACAATTAAAATTGGTGGGTAATAATCAGTGACAAACTTATTTTTTTAATTAAAAATCTTTGAAAAATATTTTTTCATTTATAAAAAATTAAATTCAAATTTATACCGATCAATAATTTAATTAGTATATTTATTATAACTTCCATAGTTAAAAAAAATTATATTTACAACTCTTTAAACTTTTCGTCATAATTAAATATGTATTTTTTTATATCTCTATGTGTATTATTGATATCAATTCTATAATCTTAAAGTTTTTTATTAACTTCTCTAAATAATCTGTAATATAACCTGTTTTTATTAAATTTATAATTATTTTTAGAAACACAAGATAATTCATTAATATTAAAAAATTAATTTATTTAATAGTAAAATAATTTAAAACTTATATTTCATGAGTATAAAATAAATTTTATTAAAAAATACAAGATTGTATTAATTAATTAAAAACTGTCTATTTCATAGATAATAAATTTTAGTATTCATTTTTTATTATTAATTAAAAATTTTAATTATTTTATAATTCTATAAATTGTTGATTAATATAATTTATACCGTTCTGGTTATTTTAATTAAAATCTTATTAATTAAAATATTTATACTTAATTTTAGTATTTTAGTTATCCAACTTGTTTTGTTTTTATTTTTAATTGATAATATAAAGAATGTTGAATAAAAATCATTTAAAAACTTATTTTTAAATTATAAATATTTTGATTATTTAGTGTTTTAATATTTATAAGTTATTAAATTCTATTCAAATAAACTGATAATATATTTGTGGTGATTGTCTTAATGATCAACCCACCAATGATAAAATTTAAATTTAGAACATTCTATTTTTTTAAATTTTAATTTTTAAAAATTCTTCACCTCAAGAATTAAGAATGAGTAACAATAAATTGAAAATTAAAATAAAATCAATATTTGAGAGTTACCTGCAATTCAGCGCGCGTGGACAGAATGTCCACAATATTAAATAGGTAATAAAATTAACAATATGACTGTATTTATATAAAAATTAAAAATGTGTTTGATTAATTACAATTAAAAAATAAAAATTTTTTATTTTAAATAGAATATTTTATTATAATTTTTAGTATTTTCACAAAGAAAGTATTAAATGATTCTATTTAAAAATTTAAAGAATAATTTCTAAAACTCTTAATTTCATTGGTTCGATTCCTTTTAATGATTTTTTTTAATTGTTTTTTAAACCCTTGCTATGCAAAAAGATGAAGCAATTATTTTCCTACTTTCTACTTTGATAAGTAGTAAAATCACAGAAGAGCATCTTAACAAAACATCTTTGCCTTCTACCTACATTAAATACATATCACAGCTTTTACCAGATGAAGCAATGAATTTACTTCAAAATTATAAACCAAATAACATTACACTGTCACTTATTAAACATATATTACAATCCAGATCAAGTTTAAAACAACATAGTTTATTGAATTATAGTTTATACAATCATATATCTGGACACAATGGCGCTATTGAATCTATAGTTATGGATACAAATGTAAACAGGACATACCTTTTTACAGGTGGATCTGATGGAACTATAAAAGTATGGGATATTGACTATGGAACTTTAATCAGTTCACTTTATGGACATAATTCAGGTATTGTAGACATGAATATATGCTTTAATAATAAGTATCTTTCAACAGTAGATAGAAATGGAAATGTCGTAATATGGGATTTACAAGAGTTAACGATCTATCATAAAATAACACTTGAATATAAGATTATAATGAGTGAGTTCATAAGAGAACCTAAATCTACAGACTTAAGTATAGTTGGTCGTGATACAGCTTATGAAACCAAATATATCACCCTCATATCATCAGATTCAACTTTAATTAATCTCAAGTTTAATCATAATTGTTACGAAATAGTTTCTATAAATGATTGTTTATCAAATAAAACAATAGACACTATAAGTGTTCTAGAAGGACGAAGAATTATATGTGTTGGTGGAAGATGGCCTTTTCTATTACTTTTTGATTTATTTGATTCAGAAAAGTTAATCATGTTAGAAGATTTTAGAGATGTTGATCCAGACATAAATATTATGAAAATGGTTGGAAGCAAATATGGATTTAATATTGCAACAGCTTATGCCAATACAATGTGTTATTATAAATTTTATAGTTTAGGGATGGGATGTGATGGTAATAACAAATTCATCAATTCATTAAGAAAACAAGGGTATTTTGATAAGTATATTATTGATGTAAATCATACACGTGGAATGATAAATACAAACAATGCATGTGTAGAATCTATGGGATTTTTATGTAATAATTTTCTAGTGGTTTGTTGTGATGATGGTTTTATGAGGGTTTATGATAACGATTCTTTAATTGCTGTTTTTGAAGGTGAGGATGGTGATGTTTATACACACCCAAATCGTTTAGTGTGGGCAATTGTTGGTAATGAAATATCTTTATATCAATTGAATGGTTTTACAAATGAACAAATAAGATATATGCCTCATCTTAAAGAAAATAAGCAATATTTAAAACCTGAATTTTTGCATGATCAAAAAGTATTTATAGAATTATTTCTTACTGTTCCAATTAATAGTTCCACTACTAACAGTTTAAAAGATTTTGTTTTTAGTAATAATGGTTTATATTTTATAACTACATATGAAGATGGTTCAATATTAACTTATTCACTCAATACAAATAGCTTTAAAAAATACGAGGAGCAGTTTTGTATTTTAGACTTCAAGCCTTGGATTGCAGAAAGTATAATTAAGATTTTAGATCATTTTAGTAGTGATATGAAGACAAATAACCTTAAATTTACTAGTGAACTTATAAAAAAGAATGAATTTATTAAAAGTTTGTATGAGAATTTATATTCCTTACAAATATATGATATTGAAAGATTACTTATACGTGCTGGTGATTATAAAACATTGAAAGATATTGTTTCTTCTAGAGTTTATGACAGAAACAAGAATGTTTTAGACATAATTAAGAGAAACTATTTAATTGGTGAGTGTATGAAAACTAATTTTACATTTGTTGATATGGCAGCGACTCACTTTAACAAATTAAAACTAAACAAACTTGAATTTGATCAAAAATTTAATAATGAAACTGTTTATCCTGAAATTAATCTTTTGGAAGATACAAATCTTGAAATATTTCCATCAAGTAGCATTTCAAATTTTTCTTTTAAAGACCCTACTAATACCACCAATCCTCCTATTGCTACTTTTATAGGAAATAGAATGATTATTGATGATAGTAGTGATGAATCTCCTAAATCTGTAAAAAAGGTTACTTTTGATGATGAATTTCTTGATGATGATGAAACAATGTCTTCTTTAGAATATGATGATAATATGGATTCTACAACAGATCTTACAGATACTTCCTGTTCATCCATTTTAACTTCTGATTCTGTAAAAAAGTTAAAATTTACTAGAAATAATTATACTTTTTCTGATGATGAATAAATTAGTTAAATTTAAAAGTATATTTTTTATACACACTTTATTCAATTGTTAGATTGTAATTGTTTCAGTTACAACTACTGTTTCTGTATCAGTTAGAGTCTGTGTGATAGTTTCTTGTAAAGTTTCAGTTATTGTCAAAGTACTATCTGCATCTACAGTTGATGTTTCGGTAGTTGTTGTAAATTCTGTCTCAGTGTTAGTATTTGTTATAGTTTCAGAAACAATTTCGGTTGTTGTTGGTATAGTTATTGTTTCAGTTAAACCTAATCTAATTGCAATGGAGTCAACAGCATTCAATAAGTTGTTGTAAAGGTTGTTTAAGCAGACTTCATATGCTTCTAAAAGTTCTGTTAAATTCTGATCATTAATATCTTCTAATTCAATCAATAATAAGTCTAATTCAGTGTCAATAAATTCAAGATCAATATTTACAATTTCATTAATAGTTTCTATAGTTAAACTCAATGCCTCGCCACTCAATTCACAATCAGCAATACCAATTAATAATTGATTTAAATCAGAGATTGTGCATATAAGCTTAGTTGATGCCGCGTTAAAAGCAAGATTTAATTTTGACTGAAGATTTGAAGCTAAAACACATGCATTTGTGTTACAAGAGTCAATATTGGTACAGTTGATTATTGCAGTATATTCTGCACATAGACATCTTCTAAAGGTATCTAATGCTCCTTCAGTAACCAACTTTTCTGTAGTAGAAAGTTTTTTAACAATTGCAGCTGCGTCTTTAGCTCCAATAATGGCAGTCAATTCAAGTTCCAATTCTGCCCATAATAAAGTATGATCAGGGAACCCTGAAAGTGCAAACTCATTTATTGCTAAACAAGAATCGACCCTCAAATCTTGAAGATATTGAAGTGCTGCACTACATAGACAGTTCTTAGCACTCTCAATGTAAATGTCAAACGAGTCAAATAAACTTTTAAATCCACAACATCTATCATAATCATAAGATGAAGAACTACAACTACTTGAGAAGCTACTTGAACATGATGAATAAATTGTTGGACATGGATAATTGCAATAATACTTATTATAACAATCATACTTATTATAGCACCAATCATCATACTTGTTATGACAATCATACTTATCATAATAACACCAATCATACTTATTATAACAATCATACTTATTATAACAATCATACTTATTGTAACACCAATCATCATACTTATTATGACAATCATCATACTTATTATAATAACAATCGTCATAATTATTATGACAATCATCGTACTTATTATAATATTTATTCAAATAATATTGATTATATGAATTATTATTGTCTTTGTATTTAATTGGAGTATAACAATCATTTTTATTATACTTAATAAAACTATAATGATTTTTATGTTTACTAAAAGGAGTAAAGTAATCATTTGTATTGTAACAGCTATATGGTGATAAACCAGTGTAGTATTTATTAGGTGTTTTGATATCATATGCTTTGTATGTAATTTTAATAGGATCATTACAGTTATTTGTTTGATATTGATTATAAGCATTAGTGTACTCATTGTTGTACTCATTGTTATGATCATAATAAGTATCATAACCATAAACAGTCTTACTTAATATTGTAACAATTTTCATTTTATTTAAGGTATGTTTTGTTATTTTATTTTTATAGTAATTTTTTTTTTCGACTAGTAAAAAATTTCCTTTTTTGTTAAACGTCATCTTTAATTAATTTTTTTTGACATTTTGTTTGAATTCATCAATTTTTTAATCTAAAAAACTAATCAAATTTTTATACTTTCAATTATTTAATTTTTAATTAAAAAGTATAAAAATAAAAATTTTTTATTACAAGTTTATTGATTTATTTCAATCACCTCGAATAGTCATTGGTGTTGAATTCAATTCTAATTCATCTACTTCTTGAGTAAACACGTTAACTCCTGGTAACCTTGATAAAAGTCTAAAATTGTTCCTTGTAACTTCTGTCTCAGTGACTGTAACTGTTACGGTATTAGTTACTACTAGTGTTTCGGTAAGTGTTTCGGTTGTACTTTCAGTCTCTACAACAGTAGATGTGAAATTGGTTTCGGTAACTGTTACTGTTACTGGATTAGTAATTGTTTCGGTGTCAGTTTCAGTTAAAGTTGTGGTAGAGAAAACAGTTGATGTGGAAGTTGGAAATGTTATTGTTGTAGCAGTACCACATCCTACAATACCAATCTTAACAGCTGCTGAGTTATATGCTAATGTAAGATTTTTTAGTAATTCAACTAAACATTCTTCATAAGCATCAAGTAAGTTGTTTAAGGCAACAAGTGCAACAGCATCTAATTCTGTTTTAAGTGTTGCTAACTCACCTGTAATAAATTCAATATCATCACTAACTACTTCTGTAATTGTGTTCACAGCCAAACTCAATGCTTCCCCATCCAATGAACATTGTGCAATGTCTGTTAATATTTCTGTCAAATCAGCTATTGTTTCTACCAGCTCACCTGAAGCAGCATTAAAAGCAAGATTAAGTTTTGCAAGAAGATTAGATGACAAAACATTAGCATTTACATTAGCGTTGTTAATTTCTTGACATCCTGTAATTTCAACATAAGCTGCACATAAACAATTTCTAAATGCTTCAAGTGCTCTTTCTGTAACTCTTTTCTCAGTAGATGATAATTGATTAACAATTTTGGCTGCTTCTGTAGCTCCAATTAAAGGTTCTAATTGTGATTCAAGGTTTGCCCATTCTACCGTGTGATCAGGGAATCCGGATAATGCAAAATTATTTATCAACAAACAAGATTCAATTCTGATCTCTTGTAAATAAGATAATACACTATTACATAAGCATTCTTCTGTGTTATGTGTATAAACTTCTATTAGATCAAAAATATCATCAAATCCAGAACATTTTTGATCTTCACATGGTTCACATTTTGACTCACAATTATAGTCAATATCAACATCTATTATTGTGATGCCAGGATGACAATCATCTTTATCGTAACATCGGTTATATCTTGGTTTGCATCTACCTCCTTTGCAACCATAACCAGTTACTAAGTTAATACATACCATTAATAAACTTATTATACTCTTTATCATGTATGGGTTGACATTACAAATATTTTTATATTCTAAAATTTTTCTTAAAAAATTAATTTTTCTATTTTAGGAAAAATGACATCTAAATTGATTTATCTATTAAGAAGAATTTTGACAGTTTATTAAACTTTTGAATTTGTAACAGTAACCGTCTCAATTATAGTTTTTTCATCCCAAAGAGTAGTTTTTACTGTTTCGTTTATAGTTGTAACTATAATACCCGTAACAGTTGTAATTGGTTCTGTTATTGTTTGTGTACTGGTACTGTATACAAATTCAGTTTCAGATGATGTTATGACTGAAGCTATAATTATAGATTCTGTTGTTATAGGAACTGATAACCCTATACTATTTATCACATTCCCTGTTATGTTTTCAATATTTGTATACATTTTATCAAAACATCTTATAAAAGAATTTTTTAATTCGAGTGCTTCAAAAAAAACATTGTGTTTCAAAGAATTCTTTAAAAAGAATATTTTAAATGTAGCAAACATAATGTTAGTATGTTCTATATTCTCAATTGCTTGAATTATTTCACGTGTTTCTTCGTATTCATACCAATCTGATTTTAGTTCTATTAAACTTGGTGTTATTTCTCTTAAACTTGCTAAAAATCGATTTTCATAAAATTTAGTGGCGTTAACTATTTTAGAAACCAAAATTGCTTGAATATCAATAAGATTAGGTGATTCAAACATGTAAGTATCAATTATATTGTTAATTTCCAATAAAAGATTATTTCTGAATAGATTAAGAGCAATATTTACAAGATATTGTTCTTGTGATTTCAAAATATCTAATTCGTACAAAACACCATTTGCAATTTGTTCCTGAGGGTAATTTTCTTCTAAACTACTTTTTAAGTTTTCCCAAATAAAGTCGTGATCAATCCATCCATTAGAAAGAAAATTTTCTATACAAAATACACAATCGCTACGAACTTTTTCAAGATATCTTAATGATGAAACACACAAACATTTTTCGGCTCCTGAAGTTGGTATCTCAATTAAATTTGATATAGAATTGATTTCATCTTGGTTGCATTTACTTCTTATATATGAAAATATAAAGTTAAAATTCATACGTTCAATAATTTTTTTTCTCTTATATTATTTAGAATTTTATAAAAAACAAAAAATTCCTAATTAAGAAAAGTGTCAAATTTAAAAAACAATAATTTTAATTTTATCATCTTTTAAAAAATTTAAAAAGGTATTGCAGTCCGTTATTAATTTTTTCATAATCATTTATATCAAACATTGAATTATCAGGTTCTATTTGCTTTTCTTCAGGTTTAACAGATTTGGAATAAGTCTTATCAATTATCTCATCACTGTTATTTGTTGATAAAAGTTCATCTCTAATTAATTTTTCCATTTCATTTATAACTTCAGATATTGTTGTTGAAAGTATGCCATCTATTTGTCTAGAAAATACACAATGTTCACATTTTATTCTTAGTTTTCTTAAAAGATAAATAATTTGTTCGTTTGTTAGGTTTTGTCTCTTGTTATGTAAATTCAATAATAATACAAGTAATTGAAATGTTATATTATCTGTATCTTTAAAGAAATTATATTGAAGAAGTTTCTCTAGTAACAGATCATAATATTGTGTTATATCAGCTACAAAAAATATTAAATAACACAACTTAACTTCATTAAGTTCTAAATTATTTCTAAATACATTTAACTGTTCACAATCAATACCATTGAGATTTAAAAGTAAATTAGTTAATATTGATTGATTTGGATTTATCTTAGATGGATCTTTTAAAATAATTAACTCTAACAAACTAGCCCCAAAATAACTACTATCAACAGAATCTACTAACTCATCATAATTCAGGGATTTTATTAAAAAATTAAGTATCTTTGTATTGTTATCTGACATCTTATATAAAAATTCATATTCTTGATCTGTAATTGCCTTATATAGTAATTTTTGTATTTCAAAATCAGTTTTAACTCCAGGTATCATAGTATCCAAACACAAACAAAACAATTGAAAATCAAATAACTCAATAAGTTCCTTGTGATATTGCTTCATAACAAAATATTCTGAATTGACCAATGATTCATTCATTAATTTCTTAATTAATGTTAACTTCTCATATTTGATCGGTTTACACACCAAAACCTCAAATAAACCAGTTATACATAGTTTTTCATTAAACTTAGCATCTAAAATAAGAAATCTTTTAAATATTTTAAATGGCCCAATTCTAGCTAAATTCAATACAAAAGGTATCACACCTTCAAACTTAATTAATTCTCTAAAAATTTTTTCTGAATAAAAAAGGTTAAGCACTGAACCAACTTCATAAGCATTTGCAGTAAATAAAATAACCGTAGTTTCTTTGTCAATCACCAACTCATCAGAAAATGCAGATATAATTCTTAATATTTTATATTGAAACTCCCTGTGTTCTAAACTAAATGTATTTGCTAAAATATCATTAAAGTGATTTAAAATAAGAGTAGGAAACTCTAGTGCCATTACATAGATATTAGTTAATGCATCAATTTTATCATCTTCATATGTTGAATCATTTAATTGGTTTATTAATTTTGTTATTACTTCTTCACGTGTCTCTGTCATGGGCAAATAAAAATTACATTCATTCTTAATCTATTAAAAATTGTAAATTGTTTATAAATAAATTAAGGATGGTTAATGTTTTATTAACTAATGTATGTAATAATATAGGATTACCTGAGTGTAGGGCTTTTAATGTATCTGAAAGTTCATATACAGGTATGAATAAGCAAATGTTTGGATTTGATGTAAAAACACCTTACACATTCGGAATGATTGTAATTTCTATACTTTCAGCTGTCAGAATGGTTTTCCATGTTAATTCTCTCTTTGCATCTGTAGGTGGTAATGAAATGAAGATAGTTTACTACTGTTTTATTTTATATAACGGTTTACTAGGATATTTGGTGTGTTTGGGTGATGATATAAATATACTTTCTTATAAGGCATTTACTGCTATTTACATGACTTTAAACACAACGTTTTATTTTGCTATTCTATTGAGTGGTATTACAGCTGATAGAATTTATGGTATATATAAAATGTCATCATTCTTGTTTATGTCGACTATCACATTCTCTCAATTTGGTATTGTGTTAGTTTTCTACATATTATCATTTGCTACTAATAATGATATTTCTGTAATTGTTTATTATGGAATTAACTTTTTCTGTGTACTTGTGTTTATCTTTATACAAATAGGGAAACTAAAAAAGAAAAATGCTGATATTTGGCCATATGGTCTATTGGGTGTAATTTTTGTACTGTCATTAATAACCAATTCTTTATTGTTTGTATTAGGAGACGTGGTTGCCAAATTTTCTGATATGACTCTTGATAATATATTTTTAATAGTTCTCTTTAATCTTATATTTCTTACAATGATTCATAAATATTGGATTAATACCTGTGATTTTGAAGTAGAATGTTTAACTTTAGAAGTTGAATAAATAACTGTTCTTTTTAACATACAACTGTTTGTTTTATGAGTAATTTTTAATATTTATAAATAATTTATATATTTCACCCTTATGTCGCCTATCAATTTGATATTATTTTTGTTTTTTAATTTAATTGAATCGAAAAATAATAAAAACGTTTTAAGTTATATAAATAAGATCAAAATTAAGAAAAAAACTGTTTTTTACTGTAGATATGACACAAGAGGATGTAATTGTAAAAGAAAATGGTATATACCCAAAACCAGAGTTAAGAAAAGATATGAGCATGAATCTGAAATTGAGTATAGATGTTGTGAATGTAAAAGATCCACAAAAGAAAATAAAAAGTATAAAAGATTTTTAATTAAAGGTAAAACTTTAAAAGAATCTGCAAATAATTTTACTAAAAATAGAAAGAAAAAAAGAAACGAAAAAATTAATTTACTTAGTTGTTGTTATGAAAATGAGGATGTTAGGAATAGAAAGAACGAAAAAATACCTAATTTGAATTCTAAAAGCAATCATTATAAATTAGTGTTGGATTTAGATCACACCTTAGTTCATAGTAAAGTTAAACTTGATCCTGATAATATTGATAGAAATGAGTATATTTATGAGGTAACTGTCAGACCAGGGGTCGATGATTTTTTAAATAATATTAAAGAACTAGGATGGCCCACTGTTGTTTATACCGCAGGTACAGATTCGTATGCTAAACAAATATTAGACCGTATAGACCCTGATAATGTTATATCAAAAATATACCATAGGGAACACTGTGAACCTAAATGGAATCACTATGCCAAAGATTTAAAAAACATAGATGAAAATCATTATAATTTAATAGTTTTAGATGACAAACATGTTTATAAAGATCAACAAAATGAACAAGTTTTTAAAATACCACCCTTCTTCACATGTAATTATGGCGATGATAGTGAATTAGAAAAAGTATTAAAATCTTTAAAGTATATCAATAAAGAAAATGGGAATTTTAGAAAAATTATTAAAGATTATAATAATAGCAATAAGAAAGCAATTTGTTATTAAAAATAATTATTAAAATTTTTATTTTAGAATTGATTTATTTATTTTACAGTTTAATCAAAATATTTTGATTAAATTAATTTTTTAATATATTTAACATATAAAAGTTGTTAAAACTAATTGATATGTTTATAGAATGTAAAAATATTTTAATATTTGTTTATAATTATTTAATTTTAAAATTAACGATAATTAAAAATTTAAAAAGATTAATATTTACATTCAATATTTTTAAGTTAAAGTAATAAATTAAAACATCTTAAATGATTATTTGTTAAAAACACTTTTTAATTTTTTATTATTAAGACAGTTTATATGTTTTTATTAAATTTTTTATTTGAAACTTTTCATTACATATTAATTTAGAAAACTTTATTTTTTATTTTAACAATGAAAACATATACTTTTTATGTCTTTTAAATAAACTATTATTTACTTTTAAATAATTTTTAATATAAACTTTTTAGTAATAAAAATGTTTAAAACTAATTGTTTTTATGTTAAAATTAATTATTCAACTAATATATTTAAATTTTTAATATTAATTATATAATAAATAAAATTAAAAAACTAACCAAAATATCATAAAACCATAAAATAATAATTTAATGGGTTGATATTTAATTAACAATACACATTTAAAGCATTTAAATAAAAGTATAATTTAAACTCAAATTAAAATTATGAAAATTAATTTGTTTATTTATGTAAAAAATAACCCTAGGAGTTCATGTATAATAGTCAAAGTGAATTACTAAGAAATAATTCTAAAATAATAACTAAGGATTCAGTAGCTATAGCACAACCATCTAGTTACACATGGTGGACATACCTATCTAAATTTCTAACAATACTAATTCCTGATTGTGTTATTAGATTTTGCTTTAGAAGACAAACACCAGAACAAGTACAAGCCTGGAGAGAAAAATTATCACTGTGTATGTTAATATTCTTTAATTGTGTGTTTTTAGGTGCTGTTACTTATGGAATTAATATGTATTTGTGTGGAAATCAAACAGTGATTGTTTACAATTTAATAAAAGAAGATACATTTAAGGATCCAGTCTTAATTGCTAATGGAATGATTTATAAAAATAAGAAAGGATCAAAAGGGGACTTTTCTAATAATACAGGAAAGTTTCGTAAAGAATCAAAAGCATGTAAATCAAAATTTGGAGGACAATTAGTTTTGGGTAAATTATTAGAAACAGACTTTGATCCTATCTGTGAGATTACTTGGGATTGGGGTAGTGTAATAAAATCAGGATTAATTGTTATTGATGATAGTGTTTATGATCCAAGAATAAAAGATTCTTCTGCTATGGATGACTTTATAAAGAAATACAAAGGAAAAACTGTTCCTAAATCAGAATTAGAAAAATATGATGATGATTGTATTGAATGCTTTAAAGATAGTTTTTTTGCAGGTAAACTTGCATCAAAATCATCCGGATGTATCTTTGGTGATATTGTTTTATACACTACAAGTGTTATTATATTTTCATTAATTTTTGCTAGATTCTTTTTAGCTTTATTTTACGCTCATTATAGTAGGAAAAGACCTGTAAGCATAAGAGGGACAACACCTGTAATATGCCAGGTGACTTGTTATACAGAAGGAGCAGATGGACTTAAGTCTACATTGGATTCACTAACTAATTTAGAATATAATGAAGATTATAAATTGATTATTGTAGTAGCAGATGGACAAGTAAAAGGAAGTGGTGAAGATAAAACAACACCGGAGATATTACAAGATCTATGTGAGGTTGATGATCCCGAACCACATGGATATATTTCTCTTGTACCCGGACACAAAAGATATAATAGGGCTAAAATACATACAGGGTGGTATAAAACTGAAACCAGTAGGGCTAGAATAATGATTGTCAATAAAATAGGTAATCCAGATGAAACAGAAAAAGCAGGCAATAGAGGTAAAAGAGATTCACAAGTAATAATAATGTCTTTTTTTAGCAAGATTCTTTATAATGACAGGATGAGTGATGTGGATGTAGAAATATACAGAAAACTAAAAATGATGTTTCCACAATTTCATCCTGAAGACTTTGAAATATTAATGATGGTTGATGCAGATACAATAGTTAATAGTGATGCTTTAATAAAAATTGTATCAGCGTTTGAGAAAGATAATAAGATAATGGGATTGTGTGGTGAAACACGAATTCTTAATAAATTTGAGTCGTGGGTTACACAAATACAAGTGTTTGAGTATTATATTAGTCATCATTTAGCTAAGAATTTTGAAAGTGTATTTGGTGGTGTAACTTGTTTGCCTGGTTGTTTTTGTTCTTATAGAATTAAAATTGTTACTGATGAATATGGAAATATAAAAAATCATTCAGATAGAAAAAATAAGAATGAAAGGTGGTTGTGTGTTCCTATATTAGCTAATCCAATTATTGTAAATCCTTATTCAATATTTGACTCAAAAACACTTCATGAGAAAAATTTACTACATTTGGGAGAAGATCGATATTTAACGACATTACTAATGAAAAATTTTTATAAAAGAAAATTAGTGTTTTTAGCTTCTGCTAAATGTTCAACTTATGTTCCATCTGATTATAAAACATTGAGATCACAGAGAAGACGTTGGATCAATTCAACTATTCATAATATGTTTGAGTTAGTTATGGTTGATAAGTTATGTGGTATTAATGTATTCTCTATGCAGTTTATTATAGGATTTGAGTTATTCGGTACTTTAACATTACCCGCTGCTATCTTCTTCACTTTCATTTTAGTAATAAGTGCTTTCATTTATGAACCAGCATGGATACCTTTAATAATGTTAGCAGCCATTCTTGGATTGCCAGCAGTATTAATTTTCTTGACAACCGGTGCTATTGAATATGTTTATTGGTTGCTTGTGTATATAATTGCTTTACCTATTTGGAACTTTTGCTTACCAGTTTATGCCTTTTGGAGATTTGATGATTTTAGTTGGGGTGACACTAGAAAAGTTGAGGTTGAAACTATCAAAAAAACAGAAAATATTGAAGATGAATTTGATGCTTCAACTGTTAATTTTAGTGAATATATGGAGGTTAGAGAATCAATGACTAATGTTAGTAGATCAAACTCAGTAGGTCCTAAAAATTCAAATGTAGAAGATAATAGAAAATAAATTCTTGTAATATTTTTTATTAAATTAAAAAAATGAAAAAATTTTTAAAAAACACCAAGATAAAACTTTAATAACTTTTAAACAAAAAATAAATTTGTTTTTGAATATCATTATATTCTACACAAAAATAATTATGAATAAAATTAAACTATTCATTGGAATAATTAAAATAGATTTATACACACATATAAGTTCATTAAATTCAGAAACTTATAATCTTAAATTTGAAATCTACCTGTTATGAACAAAAGAAAATTTATAAATACTTATTTAAATAAAGATTCAATATATTAAATTTTTACTATAAAACTGTTTTAAGAACTCAAAATTATTCTTATATAATTTCAATTGACTATTAATTTACGTTCAAAAACATAATAACATTAATATTTATTTCATTTAAATTGTAGAAATTTTTTTAATAAAATTATTAACAATTCGATTGTGATAAAAATATTTTATTTAAAAGAGATTTAATAACAATTTATATTAAATTCTAAAACTTTTAAAAGTAATCAAAGGATACTATTATTAAAAGTTAGTTATTTTATAAACAAAAATTAAAATATAAAAACTTTAATTTTTAATTAAATAAAACTATATTAATATAATATTTCAATAAAAAATCCATCTCTTTAATTTAAATAAATAGTAATTTTAAAGTAATTTATTATTCCAAACTTAAAATACAATTATTAATTTCCTGTTTTGTTTCTTCTAATATATCACATAAATGTTTTTTAAGTTTCTTACAATAATTTGGAAAAAAATTACATTTAAACACAATATTGTTACAAATAGCTAAAATACACTGATAATATGATAAGAGTTTTTTTAATTTTGAATTATCAAAAATTCTAATACTAAAATTAGGGTATTTGCAAACTTTTAAGTTATTAAGAATATCTGAAAAAACTCTTTCAACATCTTCTAAATTTTCAGAATTGTATTTTTTTATAAATTCAAATTGGTTTAATTCAGTTATCGAGGCAGATGAGATATTGATTAAATTAATGAACGGCTCTTTTATTATAGAAATTTCTAAATAATATATATCCCTTAAAATTAGATTCTTAAAATTATCAATTAATTGTTTGTGGTAAGATTTTATAGTTTCAAATTCTTTCTGTTTATATAATTTATATCTATATAATTCAATTATTTCTAATGTCGTTTTATACATATCTATTATCATCAATACACTATTAAAAAACTCAATATGCTTATTAATTATTAAAACATCATTTTTAATACATAAACTATTATTATTATTCTTAAGAAACATAACAATTGATTGAATTAAAAATAAATCTATTAAATTAAAATTTTTTTTGTCTAAAGATATGTGACTTTTTTTAAAATATTCTGTTTGTGTTATTTTACCTCCTTGTATTAACACTCTCCGTAAAAATTTAAGTTTGTCTGTTTCTTCCAAAAAATTATTAACTTCTATAAATTTAGTTCTTTCATCACCAAGTATAAATTTAAATAAACTTTCATAGAATGTGATCAAAAAACTATGATTATAATATAATATAGTTAAAAGACGTATATTATTAAAAAAATCTTTTAAATCTAAATATTGTCCCTGGTTCACATAACTATATTTAAAATTCACATTTTTAAACATATTATCTGTTGAAAGAAAATATTTGTTGTGATTATTTTTAAATTGCAATCGTTTATTTTAATCTTTTTATCATGTAAAATTTCTTCATCTGAATGCTTTCTTTTTAAAGATGTTTGTTCTTCATTAATTACTAATTCACTTTCTGATGAGCATTTAAAAACGTTTATAATAAAAAAATAGTTTACAATCATGATATTAAGGGTTGTTTTTTATTGAAATTATTTTAATCAATTTAAAATTTTAATTCAGTAGAAAATAAAATCTATTATTATTGATTTAAAAAATATATTAAAATTATTATTAATTTGTTTAAAAGTTATTTATAAGTAAATTTAATATAAATTGTATTTTATTGATAATCAAATCATTTTTTTAATATTTTATTATAGAATAATTTGATCTAATTATATATTTCAAGAAATAATAAAAACCAATTTATTTATTAGTAATTAATTTTTCTAGTATAATAACTATTAGTTGGTTGTCTACCAACTGTTCTTTTGGTAGAATAATTATAGCTTGTAGGATAAGATCTTGTTGTTGTTCGCTTATAACTACCTGAATAACTACCGCCTTGAAGTGGGCTGTTATTTAAATAATTATTATTTCCTCCTATAGGATTTTGTTGCTCAACATCCCTATCCAAATCATTTGGTTGTTGTTCACTATCTTGAAAATCTTGTTGCTGATCATTGTATTGAGGAGGATAGTCAGATGCTAATGGATCTTCATTAGAAAAACCATTCTCTTTATTATCAACTGGATTATTTTCAACATTATTGTTGCCTGATAGAAAACTGCTGAAGTTAAATGCACTTACTGCCTTAAATATAAAATTCATGTTGTTTCATTCTAAATTTCGTTTTATACTTATTTTGAAACTATTTTAAAACTTTTACAAAATAGTTTGATTTACTAATTTAAATAAATTAAGATTTACTATAATAAGATGGAAAAGAGAGTTTATTTCAATAATAAAAAGGCAGCGTTTTTAGTGGATTTGATTTCCAAAACAAAATTAAAAAACAAATTATTTTTTATCGTCCTAAAATGTTTCTTTATAATATTTTAAAAATTTTAAATACACTTTCGAGTATAAATATCAACTAATAAGTAAACTTCAATTTAATTATAAAATTATAAAAATATCATCCAAACAAGATCAATCTAATTTTAAGAATGAATCACTATTAAAAAATTCAAACTTTAATGAAGTATTCAAAGAATTAAAGAGGTTTACAATAATATTGAAGATATCTCAGTAGTAGAAAACTTTAATATAGTTATTATAAAAATTAAACATTTATCTTCAAGAAAGTTTATTGGTTTAAAAGTTAAAGAATTAGTTGATTCTTTAAAGAAATTAAATTTAAAATCAAATATAAGAAAAGAAAGTTATGTTGGATAAAATTTTTAATTAAAACCCCTTTTAATTAAAATGAATATTTTTAATTTAAAACTTATAAGTTCTGTAAGAATAAATAACTTAACAACAACATTTGATGATTCTCATTATATAGGAATAGAATTTGATAAACCAGTTATAATACGATCAATTGAATCTTTAGAAAATATCGATAATAAAGATCTTAAATTTTTCTTATATTCAACCGACCAAATTAACTGTTTAAAAACTGATAAAGCTGTTATATTAAAAAATAAAGAGATTAACAAACTTAAAATTTTTATTAAAAAAATTATTATAAGATTAAATAGAAATGATTTAACAACTTCATTTAAAATTTTTGCACTTGAAGGTCGCAATCCAATACTTATAATGACACCAATATTTAAATTTGATGATACTAAATGTTATTTGTATATAAAACAACCCAAAATTAAACCAAAAGAAATAGATAAAGTCAAAACAGATCCAATTAGTAAAATAAGATATAGATTTAAACAATTTAAAATACCTTCTTTAACCAATTTAACCAACAATATTAACAAACCCGCTTTATTCTTACACCGAATATTTAAAAATTATACTGAAAATCAAATAATCAAATTTTTGACAAGAAGTATTTTTATTTTAATAATATCAATTATACTTTCTCTAATAATTATTGATAAAATTCAATAAAAAGTATAATTTAATTTTTTTATTTTAAACTTTTTATAAATTCAGATCTTACCAATTTTAAAAACTTTACAATCTTCTTTTCTGTTACAAATACATTGTTTAAGTAGTTTAAGTCAACTTTAGGTTCTGATTCAATAATTAGTGGGTCATTTACAAAAGACATTATTATATAACAAGGCATCTTTAGATGTTGGAATGAGAATTTAAGAGTATTTTCTTTGATTTTGTAAATTGTCAATCCTAAGTATTTTTTATACTTATCAGCCAATACTTTCTGATAATGCAATGACTCATTAAAATTATTAGAAACACAATTAAGTTTGTTTTCTATTGATTTTTTTGCCTCTTCTAATTCATTAAATCTTTCATTTAATAAATTGCCAGTGAATTGTACTTCTTTGTGTTGATTTTTTAGAGAAATGTTTTCATTCTCACTTTCTTTTAATAAAATCTCTACTTCTTCTTTGTCTTTATCAATATCTAACTTTAATTTCTCTAAATTATTAATTTCAATCTTGTTTCGTTCAATACTTTTTCTTAGGCGTATCTCTTCATCATTAAATGTCTTATGGTTTTTAACATTTAATAAATTTAACTCAATACAACTGTTTCTTAATTCCTCTACACTTTCATTTATCTTTATTTTTACTTTATGAACTATTTCATTAATTGCTACTGAATTTATGTCTGATCTTTTAATCATAGCCCTTATGGATCAAAAAATTAATAATAAAAATGAAATGATCAATAACGGAGATAAAAGTGTTTTAAAGTATTTTAAATTAGATTGCAAAGAACAATTAGAAAATTTAAATAAACCTTGGTGTGATATAATAGATGCTTTAAGTGAGTTCAGAAAAGAAAGATCATTAGATAGAGCTAAGAAGATAATATCTTTCTATTATGAATTTAGTGATCCTAAACATGCATTTATATTTAGACAACTGATAATTAATCTTCTTACATTAGATGTTCCTATTGATATTAGTGATCCATTACAATATTATACCGAGAAAAACCATGAATTAGGTGTTTTTCTATTTAATATACACGCTTATCTGTCATTTAAATACAATAAAACTGATATGCTTTATGACTATTTAAAGTTAGTTCACGAACCTAAAAAGAAAAACACCGATTACTTTATATTCATGTACTACAGTGGAATAATAAACACAATTAATAATAAATTCAAGATAGGGTTTGCACAACTTAAAGAAGCCATAAAAGCTAAGAGGTTAAGAAAGTTTTTTTATAACGATTTTTTATTGGTTAGTCTGTTTGGATTTAATTTACCTAATTTAGAAATAAAACATCCATATTATAAGTTAAAAGAATGTATTAAAATTGGGTTAGTTAGCCAGGTTGAAAGTTTAATACCATTTAATAGCCAATTATATGAAATGTTAATAATTTATTTGCCATTGGTTTCTTTTAGAAATCTTTTATTCCGATTATACACCAATCCTCTATTAAAATTAGACTTTAATATGTTTAAATTAAAAAAGAATGAAGTCTATTTATACGTTCTTAATTGTATTGATCAGGGATTAATCAGAGCTAATATAAATCTTGATAAAGAACTTATTATATTTAGTAAATTAACCCCTTTTATAAACATTTTAGAGTAAATTATTTAATTTTTATTTATTTAAATTTTATCCCCATCATTATCAATATTTTCACTATCCTGAGTTTGATTTAATATTGAATGTATAACTACTAATACAATAATAAAACAAGTGATAGTGAAAAACATTACATGCTCCTGTCTAATATTTTCAGATAAAAGTGAAACTATAAAATTAATACCAACACATCCAAGTATCGCAAAAAGCGGAGTTATTTCATATCCTTGTATTTTAGTTGGAATATTCACTAAATAAATTGTAAGTATTATCAGTCCAAAGCAAAAAATAAAATGCAAATTGAATAATAAAAAGATTGTATAAATTACACCTGCCAACCCAATATGATAAATTAAAAACTTATCTACATTAGCACGTGTTTTTTCAATCAAGTGATCTACTTTAAAATCCTCTGGCATTCCTAGAAAAATATATTCTTTAAAGGATGGGCTTTCACTGTATTTATTAGCAAATGCTTCTTTTATATTAGAAAGCGTATTTTCATTTTCATTTACTATTTGTTCCATAATTAAGGGATAAATAAATAATTTTATTTGTTTAGTGAAACTAATTTAACAAAAACTATTTGTTATTTTGAAACAATAAATGAATTAAAATTTTAATTTTTTATTTTATCATAAAGTGTACAGAGGGAGGAATAATAATCCTCTTTTCCATTCAAAGAATCTTCAATCAAATAAGACAAAAACTTTGCCTCTTCAGGATCTCCTGCTCTTATAATTCTTAAAGGCAGAAAATAATTGTAATGAGATTCAATCTTACTAATTATACTATAACAAAGTAATCCCCCTTCAGTATCATTTCTAATAAATGAATCATCGGCTTTTTCCAATTCTAAATTAAAAATGTCTAAGAAAAGTTCTTCTGAAATACCATCAGGAACGTAAAATGTTATTTCTTTAGAATTTTCTAAAATATAAATCTCACCTGGAATTATACTTTTTGTTGTTAATCTCAGTCCAATTAGTTCTTTATTTAATTGATAATCAGATAAACAAATCAGTCTTGGATAAAACAGTTTTATAATCTGTTCAACATTACCTAAAATAATATCAGTAGAGTCAATAGAAATATGCTTAGAAACTGATTGCACTAATACTGGTAGTATTTTAAGTGTGTCTGGTAAAGTTAAGTTAGAAGTTGACTTTATTTTTCTCATATAATAACCAATTATTTTAGTTAATTCCTCATCTAAATTTATATCTTCTTCTACCATTTTCTTAACTAAGAAAGCAAATATAGAATCCACAGAAACTGTTCTATAGTAATTCATCCCGCTTTGTATTCCCAGATTAAATATTCTACACTTTTTAACTCCATCATAATTGATGTATCTTGTTTCAACTTGTAGAAATTTATTATTTATACTATATTCATTCAATCCCAAAGTATATGATACTATTGAATTTGAATGTAAAGAATTCAATTTAAGTGTTGATAATGTAAGATCCAGTCCCGGTGCAATCACGTCTTCTTTAATTATATTATCAGATGCTTTTAAATACATCTTTATATTAAATACATTCATTTGTCTGCATATATTCAATAAGAAGATTGATAAATCATTTATATTTTCAGGTCTTAGTTCACGAAAAACTCCACCACTATAAAATGACATTCTTTTAAGAGAATCTAAACTAGATAATTCAGTATTCATCCTAATTACTGAAGTTCCATCTCTTAGGAAAATAAGATTAAAACAGAAATTTCGATTCTTTTCTAAAAATTTTTCATAATTATAAGTTGATGTTTGACTAGTGAATAGTATAACTTTGTTACCCTCAACTAACTGATTAAGATTTTCTATCACATCAAAAACACTATCTATTTTATTTTCAACATTACTATTGAATCCTCTAATTATTTCAACAATCTCTAAAATAGTTTCAGTGTCATTGCTATCAAATATAGAACTCTTAGATATTTTAGGAACAATTTCGCTTTGAATATCTAATATTGAAAGTTCTCCTTGAAGATTTTTAGCAAAAGTAACAGTATTATTACCAATACACACAAAACATAATTTAGGATGAAAATTAGTAAAAGTATTATCAGTAATGAATTGACATAAACTATCTAAAGCTAAAGAAACTAAACCTTTTGTTGAGATATCAAATATAAAAGTACAAATAGGTTGATGTTTTAAATTTGGATCAGTTAACTTAAATTCAAATGATGGAAAAGCTAATGAATTTTCTTTAGTAAGTCTTAATCTATTGTTACAAATATTACAAAGATAATAATTGTCTTTTCTAATTGTAAGTTTGCTAGGATAACTTCTACACATTGAACATCTCTCAGGTATATCAATTTCTGAAACTTCACTCCTATCACAAAATGGTGTTATATGAACACCTAAAGGCATATGATTGATATTTATGTATTCTTGTGTATTTGGAATAGTGTAGTATGTACTTCTTATAAAATAAGGACTTGAATTTAATACTTCAATTGATTCATTAGGTTTATATGTTGCATAAAAAGGTATTACACTATCAGTAGCATAACTATCCTCCATATTCTTCTCATTATAAAGCATGTCTGGTAGACTGGGTAATTTTATTGATTTATCGTCTTGATTAAAATTCATGGGATTTATTTGCATTAAATTCTACTTGAGGGTTAAAAGAAAGTTTATTTGAAATTTAATTTAAAATTAATTAAGATGATTTTATTCAATATGATCCCAGATTGTATTTATAGCTTCACTTAATTCCATTTCATCTAAGTTGAAAGTAAAAATATCGTTTCTTTTAACGTTTTTAATTCTAACAAATTCATTCTGGTTTTCTTCATAAAAATCAATACCTGTACATTTCATTAATGCTAGATAAAATGCATCGTATGTTGGATGTGTGGCTTTACTTATTTTATCGTCAAATTCTTTCTTTTCGTTTTCCAATACTTGAATTCTTTCATTAGTTTCATCTATTTGTTGTTCTGTTTCTGTGATAAATTTAAATAGAGTGTATTTTTCATTTTGTTTCTTTTTACATTTACTTCTTAGATTTTCAAACTGTGTAGATAGTATTTCAATCTCTGATTTAAGTTGTTCTATTCGTCTTTGTTGTTTATTCTCTTCTTCTTTAATACTTTCTATAGATCTTACATGTTGATGCTTATTATTATCTATTTTAAATTTTAATTTGTCTAATAAATCTATCAGATGGGATGTATCCCATTTCTTAGTTATATTTTTTATAACTTTTCTGTTGTCTTCCTGAATCATTTTTCTTTTAAAATTTTTATTAATTTTTATTAGAAAATGAAAGACAAACCAATAGATTATTTTAAAAGCAAAATACCTAATATTAATCACAAATTGACAATCCATATGGGAACTGGTAAATCAATATTAACACCTAAAAAGAAATTAGAAATGAGAGTGAATCATATTAATCCAGAAAGTATAACTTTAGATAAAATCAAAGAAATGAACATAGAGTTTAATAAATATTTAGATAAACTAAATATTAACAAACTTTTTATTGAAAGACTTTATAAGGCTGAATTAGCAGGTGCTAAAATATTTCTTAGAGATTATTCTAATCCAACTAAATTAATAGAATGTTATATAATTGGAGAAAGAGAAAATAGCTTAATAGTATTAGAATGGAAAGTTAAAATTTATCCTAAGTCACGCATAGAATTCTATTTAATATATCAAAACATCAAATACTTATTTATCGGTGAGAATTTAAAACTTAATAGATTTTTTAAAAGTTAATATTGATATTTAATTAACTTTAAGCTTTTTGAAGGATTATAAAATTTTTCATTATTATACTTTTTTATTAACATTTAAGTTTTATTCTTATTTTTTAATTGTTTTACAGTTTTTTAATAAAATTTCAAGGATTAAATAAACTATTAATTTCTTAATTAGATTCTCCTATTTTAACTTGTTTTATAATTATAATAATTAATTGAATGAGATTATAACTAATAAAATTTACTTTTGTTTTTATTCTAATAAAATCTACAGTTTTCTTTATATTTGGAATTCTATTAATAAATTTACATGAAGGTATGTGTTTAAATGTATGATTAAAACATTAAAAAGCCTGTTTCTTTTATTATGACATTTTTTAGTTTTGTGAATATTAAACACGTGTTATAATATAAATAAATCAACATAATGAAACAATCTTTTAAAATATTATTAATTTTAATATTTTTTATAAAATATTTTTTCTTTTCTTTTCTTTATAAAATTGATAAATAAAATTTCAAATTTTGGTGAGTGTATTTCTAATTTTATAAATATCATTAATAAATAAACTTAGTAGTTTTTAAAATTTTTCTTCTATTTCTTTTATAGTTATTTTGGTAAAATCCTTTTTGTTTTCATTACCAGTTGTTATTATCTCATCAACATTTTTTTAAAAGAAGTCATATAAACATTTATTATACTAAGAAGAATAAACACATATTTATTAATAACTAAATAGTAAATTATTTTAATATTTATTTTTATAAAAATTATAATTTTTTTAATAATTTTTCTTAATTAAGCTTAAATGTTTAAAATTAAATTTTGTTTTTATAAATACAAAAGAGTTAAATTATTCAATAAAATTATTATAAACCTTCTATTGTTTATTAAAAATTAAATTTTAAATAACTTCTTGAAAATTACTTTTAATTTAAAAAGACTAATTTTAATTGTATAAAATTAATCTTTTTTTAATTGCTTTTTTATTTTTACATATTTAAAACGTATTCATTGCAAAAAAATAAATATTTATAGAATGATTATTTTAATGAAGAAGAACTTCAATTATTAAACTGTTTTGTTTTTTCAGCATCAATCTGTTCGTATCTTTCATTAAAAAATTGTTTAAGTTTTTTATTAATATCAATCCAAGGATTATAAAAAGTAAACTCTTTATTTAACAATCTTTCTTCATTATAAATTAAACATAAAACTTTTAAAAAAATATCAATAAGATAAGAATCACACAAGTCTAAATTAGATGAATCTAATATTATTTTTTTAATCATACATCCTAATTTACAACAGTTATTGAAAAGGTCAAAATAATAACTAAATACGTGGTTATTTGAGAACCCTTTGATAAAAAATTTACATAAACTCAATCTTAGAGAATAACATGAATATATATACTTTTTAATAAAACTATTGTTTGATATATATTCATCTATTTGAAAATTATTATCTTTAATAAAATCCATCATCAGTTGTGAACTTTTCATCCTGTCTTTTAAGTTAATATCCTCAGATAATTGATCATATTTTTCTTTAAACATTCTAAAAAATTAATACGTTCTTGATCTTTATCGAAAAATCCGTGACAATATTTTAATAAAAAATCATAACCTAGAAGATGCTTGTAAATATTATGAAATTTAAAATATTTGAATCTTTTAATTGCATATTCTTTAATACCAGTTTCAAATTTAAAAATAAAATAAATACCTAAATGGTTTAACATTTGATCATAAATTATTTCTAAAACATTATCTTTTAATTCACTTAAATTCATCTCATAAATCTTGACTTTTTTTATTAAAAACCTTTAATTCACTATTTACTAAGTCTTTAAATTCTTCAATAAAATGATCATTTTCAGATTTTAGTTTAACTGATTTTTCTTCATTGATTTCTGGATTTAAAACAATCATGAGAACAAATTTAATTCTTAGAAAAATACTTAGACATTTTTTACTCCAAGTAAGTAGAATTTTTAAATATTCATTTTTAGGGATGTAAAATATTTTTTTAATTTTAAATGTAAACTTTAAATTAAGAGTGTTTACTCTGTTATTTAAAAAATTTTATGAGAAACCTTGATTAAAAAGTCTTAAAATGATAAAAATATACAATAAGTTTATAAATAAAAGACACCCATATTTTTTAATTTGAGTGAAATAAAATAAGGATTTCTTTTATTTTGAAAGCCACTACAGAAATTAATATAAAAATCGTTTTATTTGTGAAAGTATTAAATAATATGAAAGTTTAACTTTATTACTCAAATTAAGGAACTTCGGAAGAATTGTCATATTATTAATTAAATTATCTTTATTATTCATTAAGGATTTTAAAAAATTAGAAAAATCAACTGGTTAACTTGACAGCTCTGATAATTTTTACTCAGATGTAATCAAAGTACAACATTAATGGTTTATACTAAAATAATTAAAAACAATATTTAAAGAACTAGATAAATTTTTATTTTAAGAACTATCTATGTTTTTATTATTTTCCATGATTTGCACTTCTAGATCTTTTATAACTGTATTAACATAATCCCAAAATGTAAAAACTGTGTTTATATTAAATTCCACACCTATTCCACCAGTTATTTCTAAGTCTAAATTTATCATGATAATCTGAATACGATCAAAATTAGTTAACTTTTCCATTTCTAGATTATTTTTATTCAGTTTAATAAAATAATCAAAAACTTCTTTATTAGGAATTTTTTCTATAAAACTTGAAGTTGGAACATCTTTAAAAAGATTTAATAAAACATTTAAGTTTTCATTTTTCTTTTTATAATATTCTTTTGATTTATTATTATAGACATGTTTTAATAGAAACTTATCAAATTCAATCAATGTATCAGTGAAATGATCTTTTAGTAATTCTAAAAGTTTTTTATTGTACTTGCAGTATCTTAACTACTGCAATTTAACAAAAATCTGTAGTTTATTAAGTTATATTTATTCATTTTAATTCTTTTGT